TGACCAAAATGCTAGGTTCTACCTCACAACAGTGTTACTTGAGTATTAAGTTTCCAAAACATAAAATCTGGGGGACACACACAAACCATAGCGGTTGGGACAGAGGGAGGAAGCAGCTTGGGAGAGCTGTGTGGGAGGAGATTAAAAAAGGAAGGGTTCCAATTGTGCCCCGTTTCTCCCATGATTACTTTGGACAAACAACGTAACCCACACTTTGTACAGATGTCTTCCAAACTAAAATCATGAGCTTGTGAAATGCTCATGAAATGCTGAGAAAACATTGAAAATTAAGCCTTGTTAGGCAAAAACTGCAAGAAAGGTTTTATAGCTATATGGACATCAAAAAAGATAAAAAAAACATTTTAGGACAAACAGCATCAGTATAAATAGAGAAAGTTACTAAAGAATTCACTAGGAAGGCAAAACAACTTCAGACACTTATGCTGCTGATAAAATGCCCTTCTGCTATGTGAGGCAAAACGTGATACAACTATAGAAGAAATGGAGAAATCCAATATCATAGTAAGGGATGTCAATTTACTTGATTGTTGTATCAAGCAGAGAAAAATCTGCAAGGATACAGAATATAAGAACTTTGCAATTAATAAGCTTGACCTAACGAATTATATATAAAGTTCTCCATCTAACAAAGAGAGAATTTACATTTTCTTAGTATACATGAGATGTTACAAAAATTAATATTTGGCTGGGCATGGTGGGCTCACAACTATAATCCCAGCACTCTGGGAGGCTGAGGTGGGTGGATCATCTGAGCTTAGGAAACCAGGCTGAACAAAAGTGAGACCCCCCCCTTTACCAAAAATAGTAAAACTGGTTGGGTATTGTGGCAGGCACCTATGGTCTCCTGTACTCATGAGGCTGAGGTGAGAGGATGACTTGAGACCCAAAGTTTGAGGTTACTGTGAGCTATGATGCCACAGCAGAGTCACAGAGTGAGAATTCTTCCCCCACCCCAAAAAAAATTAACCTTATCCATAGAGAACTCAAGACATTTTAAAGAATAGGTATTACACCGGCCATGATTTATGACTACATGATAGTTAAGCCAGAAGTTAAAAACACTGCTAATTAACTCACAGGTTAAAGAAAAAATTATAATGAAAACTGTAAAATACCTGAAATAGAATGAAAATGAACATGCCACAAATTAAAACTTGTAGGATTTGGCTAAAGCAATTTTTTTTTTTTTTTTTTTTTTTTTGCAGTTTTTGGCCAGGGCTGGGTCATGAACCTACCACCTCCAGCATATGGGGCCAGCGCCCTACTTCTTTGAGCCACAGGTGCTGCTCTGGCTAAAGCAATTCTTTAATAGAAATTTGTAGCTTTAAATGGAAAAGATGTCTTAAAATTAATGGAGAACTTAAAAAGAAAATAAAACTTAATGAAGCAAGAATAAAGATATATTATAAATAAGTGGAAAGTAACAAAACTAACAAACATGAGTGGAAAATAATGATAAAAATGAAAAGTGATTTCTTAGGGTAAAAACCCCAACAAAATAGGTAATACCCTGATAAGGTTGATCACTACTACAATGAAAAGGTGTCATCACTATAAATTAATAGAGATTAAAGACTGATAACAATACTATTAGCAACAATATTTGTAGCTGGAAGTGGTGGCTCACGCTTATAATTCTGGTACTTTGGGAGACTGAGGCAGGTGGATTGCTTGATCTCAGGAGTTCGAGACCAACCTGAACAAGAGCGAGACCCTCGTCTCTACTAAAAACGGAAAAACTAACCAGGAGTTTCGGTGGGTGTCTGTAGTCTCAGCATCTCGGGAGGCTGAAGCAGGAAGATTGTCTGACTCAAGAGTTTGAGGTTGCAGTGAGCTATAATGTAGCCACAGGACTCCACCCAAGGTGACAGAATGAGACTCTGTATCAAAAACAAGGACAGGTGGTGCCTGTGGCTCAAGGAGCAAGGTGCTGGCCCCATATACTGGGGGTGGTAGGTTCAAGCCCGCCCTGGCCAAAACTGCAAAACAACAGCATTTGATGTCTTATATGGCATAAACAGATTCTTAGAAAATTTAGATGAAATGCACAAGTCCACAGATAATATATTATTCCTAGAACTGACTCATGGGAAATTAAAAAGCAATAGTCTTTTATTAGTACTAAAAGAAGTTAAAATGATAGTTTAAGGCCAGGTGCAGTGGCTCACACCTGTAATCCTAGCACTCTGGGAGGCCAAGGTGGGTGGATTACCTGAGCTGACAGGTTTGAGACCAGCCTGAGACAAAGCAAGACCTTGTCTCTAAAAACAGCCAGGAGCTGTGGCAGATAGGCCCAGCTACTTGGGAGGCTGAGGCAAGAGAATCGCTTGAGTCCAAGAGTTGGAGGTTGCTGTGAATTATGATGTCACAGCACTCTACCAGGGGCGACAAAGTAAGACTCTGTCTCAAAAATAAATAAATAAAATAAAATAATGGTTTAAAAATTTTCCCACAAAGAAAATGCCATGTTCAGATAGTTTTAAAGGCAAGCTCTTCTAAACTTTCAAGAAGCACAACATTCTAGTTCTATACAGACTTCTTCAGATGACCAAAAAAAAGGGGAATGCTCCTCAACTCATTCTACAAAATCAGAGTAACCCTGAGAATAAATATGTTCAAAAGTGTCTAAAAAGGAAAACTTACAGACCCATTTTGTTCATGAACATACAGTAAGTACAACAATATAAACAAAATACTAAAAAAAAATCAACAAATTTTAAAAATATATAACAAAGCACAATCAAGTTAGTTTTATTTCATGAGGCCCTGGGCTCAAAACTAGTGTAAGTTAAATACAACTCACATGGCAATTAATAGGGTAAAGAAAGAATGTGGAAGAGGGAGAGAGTGAGGGATTAGGTAAAAAGCTACACAGAGTTGATCAGTATAAATGGGATTAAACCAGTTGCATAGAGTAGATGGAAGTTATCACCAAAGTTAGGATCCTGTGCCCTAACATTACAGATGATTACATTTCAAAGCAACAGCTTTCAGGTCTTTGAGAAAGGCACTCTTGAATTACAGGAGATACATATGCATCTTAAATGGACAAAGGACTATTGATCTTTTTAGTAAAATGCTCTCAGAAAGAGGCCTAAGGTCAGGTTATTGGCCGGGACCAATAAAATCTGGGAACAGTAAAATCCGGCAGCATTAAGCTTTCCATACAGGCATTTTAATCGTGGATGGGGTGGGCACTTCTGGGGTCATTCTAAAGGCACAGTCTATGCTGCTACAAGCCCTGCTAGTTTGGTCATTTCTTAGTGCAAGGGTTTGGAGGAGGTCGTTATGTGGCAAGAGTCCTGCAGTTCTTGTGATTCACAAGCCACACTACTAGGTAAAATCTCTTAGGTTGAAAACCAATAATCCAGTTTAATCTCTGGGGCACATAATCCTTTCTTAATTGAGGCAATGAAAGACATGGTGAGAAATGATAGGCTTTAACTTAAGAAAAACAATTGTTAACAGGTCTCTAATTACTTCGAAACACTAAAGACTCACAGCTTCCCAGGAGCTCCACAGCCTTCACCCCCACAAACCTCCTTTTCCTTTTTACAAGGAAAAAGACCAGAGCCTGATGCCATACTTTAGCATCAAACTTTCCTAAGTGGTGCATGCCAAGGGTTATGGAGGAGGCTTTTCATGGAGAAGCAACTACATTGTTCCACACTGTAACAAATCGAAGGCATTAAAGAAGGGCTGAGAGAGACTCTGAGGCCTCCAGATACAGGGGACAGGGGAAACAGAAGTGCAACAAAGTATGGCAACTGTTTACCTCAAATGCCTTCGGGTAACTGCAAGGAAATTGGCTATCCAAATTAGCTACAGTAAGGCCTAAATTAGTCACAATAAAGACAAACTCCTAAGATTCTAATGTAACTCCAAATGTTAGCACAATTCTTACAAATTGATCTTTAAAAAGATAAAATAAAATCTAGAAATGTATCATGGCGGAAATGTGGCAAATACCTGCAGAATTTCTTTCACCCTATTCAGCCTGTCAATGGCTGCATTCATCTTTTTTTTTTTTTATGTGTGATTTCTTTTCTTCTTTCCAATGTACATAACAAGACGTTTAAATTTCAAGTCTAATATACCAGTTGCAATTGCTTCTGAATGCATTCCACTTACGCATTAGCACAACTCATTATTAAGCTAAGACAAATGAAGTCAGATATTTGGGGTTACCCGAGAATTCCATAATTTTAAGAAAAAGCAAGGAACTTCCCTTGAGACCCAAGGAACGTATAAAATAGGCCAAACATTTGACTTTTCACTTAAAAATTATGTCTAAAGGCCACGTTCTTAAGTGTAAATAAATGCCTAATCGTTACTTACAAAATACATACGTTTCCATACAAAATGTTTTCTTCCGAAATAATGTAACGTTTATGTAATCAATAGCTACTTTTATTATCAAGTAACAACTGAGAAGATACATTTAGTATCAGAAAAAGTTGCAAGGCAAGCTATTTTCCTTAAAACGCGATTCTGAGAACATTACGAAAACAGATATTCGCTACAACTGTGAAGGAGAATGTAGCTTTCCTCATTTCATGAATAATCTTATTTTAAAAATACAAAAAGACTCCACGGCCCCGGCCATTATCCCACCCCTGCCCACGTCCACTAGTGGTCTGGGGGCCGTGTAGTGCGTCTGGAACTACTCAGCTCTTGGGAAGCCATGTCTTGCGGAGAAAATCGCGAGCCAGGCGAGGCCGGGCCCCACGGCTCTGGCGGTTCTAGCGGGCCCCACGGGCCTCCTCCCCCTTCTGGACCCACTCGAGGCACCGCCCGGCCCCGCCACCAGGCAGCCGCCTCCGCCGCCGCACAGGGAAGCGCGAAGACCCGCCCCTGGCGGTGATTGACGGGAAGCCTCCTCCAATGTTCAACGCGCTCGGCCCCGGCGGGCTGGGCAAGGGCCGCGGCTCGCGGAGGAATCTCTCTTGCCCTTTAGTCCCGGGCAAGGTGTTGCGGCCGGCGCCATTTTCTCGAGCCGCCTGTCTCGGGTGCCGCCATGTTGGTGAGGAGAAATCACCGTTACGGCCACTGTCCAAATCCCCGCGTCGCTGCACGCCGCCCGCCTGGCCGCTCCCACGCCACAGCCACCGGCGGCGAATAGAGACTAGAGCGGCAGCGCCGGCAGCACGGGGCCGTTGCCCAGTGTTTGCAGTTAGAGCCCCATCTCTCTGGCGTGCTTGTTAATAGACTGGAAAGTCTGTGTCTGTGTCGCTCACTAGTAACCGTGAGTTTTTACCACTTCGTCACCTGTCGGCGGCGGCCGGGAGCAGGTACCCGCAGGCGGCGCGGGGGTCCTCCCCGCGCCCCGCCGCCGCCGGCCTCGCAGACCTGCCCTCCAGCCCCGCCCCGTTCTTGACCAAACATGACAGACTCTGAACATGCAGGGCACGACAGGTCGGGAACCCTTCTTGTCTGTCTTTCTGTCGGATGAGAGGAGGGGTCTGGGGCGGCGGGAGCGGGCCGGGGCCGGGCGCCTCCTGCATGACTTAGACGTCTCTGTGTGGCTCCATCAGTTCCATGACGCGCACCCTTATGTAAACCTCAGCATCGCGGCCGCGGGGGAGGTCGGCCCGGCCGCGCCCGCCTCCCCGAGCCGGGGTCGCCGCTCGCCGGCGCCGGCCCCGCCCCCGGCCGGGCACGTGCGAGCCCCCCGCCCCCAGCCGCCGGGCGGGCTCCTCGTGCGGGCGCGGTGCTGCGGTCCCCGGTCCCGCGCCTCCCCCGGGGCCGGTGCTCCGGGCCAATGGGACCAGCCAGGAATTTTCAGTATCCGGTCTTTTGATGTTTGACTGCTACCCAAGGACACCTCTAAAAATAAACATACTTGGTTTTTAGGGAATTTTTAAGGCACCCCATAGGCCATGCGTTATGTACAGTCTTACCCCTTGAAATTTGAAATGGCAAGTTTCAAATTAAATGTTAACACACAGTACTTAGGCTTTGCAAACCTTAGCGTAGCACAGTTTTCTCCTAAAGTAAAAACCCTATGGATTATTCAGTCTAATAACCCAGTTTTGTAGGTCATATGTATCACTTGAACATTTAAGTGAGATAACTGATATTTTATTTTTGCTCTATGCCTTAAGAGGCAACATCCTTGGCTCTATTCAACAGTTGGGGGGCATTTCCTTTTAGCATACTTAATTTTGGTTAGCTCTCAAATTTACATTCATATCTATCTTAATCATTAAAGGAGGGGGGGCTTTCGTTCATTAAAATTACTGAAAAAATTATTGCATCTGATTCCTACTTAGGCTGGTCATTTGAAAATTTAGAACCTCACAATTCTCTTTTGTGAATAGTAATAATCAAAAGTGTACTTTGTACACTAGACTGTGTACAAGTTGCTGAAGTTCGCTCTGTGGAGTAATGTGATATCTTTTGGTAAAACATTCCCAACACTATTGAAAAAAACCCAGAAGCAGAACTCACAAACATCACTGAAATCTAAATATCCAAGAACCTTGAGAGTGATAAAAGTGATATTGCAACAACTTCTCAGGAGGCAAGTTAATCAAATGTGTAGACATTTTTGGAAAGTAAAATACACTTTTAAAAATTATAGGTGCATAAGCTTGTAGTTGACAAATTTTTCATGGTTTTTTATGTTAACTTTTTTATTAAAAAGAAAATTCTTGGTTTAGGTTAACTAATACTTTGAGATAGTTTCCACTCTATGTGTGGACAAACCAACCATGGGTGTTTGCTAGTGCAGCCTAAAATTCATCCTTTTATACAGAGGAAGGAAATCTGTTCTCTGTTAACACATAGCGTAATTTTAATATATGGAATTTTGTGTTCTATAAATTGTAAAAACCATATTATCAATTCAAATATCAAAATAATTTCCCTAGTAAGGGGATGTGATGGCAGACTTTAAAAAGAATTTGAGATTATAAAATATCTAGAGGTTAAAAAGAAAACATTAAAGAATCGTTTGTAAAATATACTAATAGCTTAGTAGTAGGAGCTAAAGATAAGTAATAGTGCAGTTTAGTCTGTTTAAAATTAGGACTGAGAAATATTTTCTACTGATTTCTGAAACAAAAGGTTTAGCACTACTTTAACTTATCCAGTTGTTAGTGGCAGTAATGTTCAGAGGTGAAAAGACAATTTACCCTTTTCACACTTTTTTGAAAAACTACATCAAAAAACCAAATGGATTAGGAATTGGGAGAAATGGTTCTAGCTCCTGTTACCACTGAGTTTTGTGAGATTGAGCAAGCCTACTTTCTTAATTGATAAGAGGATTCTATGAGAATATTTTAAGTTCTGCAAGACTATCGTTCTCAACTTTACCTGGGGAGTTTCTTTTAAAAAAATATTGATGCTATGTCCGTTGGTCTCGTCCTCAGCCTGGGTTTTAAGAGTTCTAACAACTCCCCCAGGTAATTTTATATATGCCAAATTGAGAACCACACACTAGACTAGTGTTTCCCAATTTTAGCTAGTCATCAGAAATCACTTGGCAGAATAAAGATTTTTGTCCTGCCCAGAGGAACTGAATCAGAATCTCTAGGAAAGAGTTGTAGTAATTGTATTTTTCATAGGTTCCCTGGATGATTCTTAAGAAATTTGGGGAAGAAAAGATTAATCTGTGGGCTCCCTGAATATTATTTTCTATACTAAGTTATTATAATAAAAGTTGCTGTGAATTAAGTGGAGAAGGATATATGAAACATGGTATATGGAACTAGGCATTGTCTCAGGAATATTCTTTTTCTGACATTTTTGAAAATTAAGGTATATTGTATGTGTAGGAAAAAAATGAAATCTATGATTTATGTTTATGACTTCTTTGATTTTGTACACATTAAAATAGTACTATTATAATTTATGTGAGAATGAGATTCTAAATATAAATGGAATTCCTAGGATGTAAAATTTTTTCTCCTTAAACATTTTTTTCTTGTATATTTTGTATGGTGAACATTTTGCACACAATTTGTTTGCTAAGTGAATAACTTTTAAAAAATAGTTATTTGCTGTATTTTCTTTTTAAATATTTTCATGCATGGACTTAAAACATTTTATAAAGTGTTATTAATATAAAAATATGTGTAAGTAAACTTGTGGCTATGTAGAATGTAGTGGAGGACTTCTGGATAAGCCTGAAATTTGGTTTCTAAACGTCTTTAGAAGTAAATAATAAGAGATAGGAAGAAATTGGGAGAAATCAAAGAGAAGTGTAATTCTTGTCTTCCATTATTCAGTTCTTTCAGGCACAACTCTAGCCACCTAGCTTTGTATTTCAGCTGGATTTGACCCAGTTGAAATAATTCAGAGCTACTGTTGAAGACTAAATGCTATGAGTCCCTGCTTTGGACACATCTACAATAAAGTAGGAGAAGATAAATATAACCCAAGAAACTATTATAGAATTTTGTAAAATATGCTAGTGGTAAAAAGTATTACAAGGGCTGTACTGGGGGAAAAGATAATTTAATGTGAACAATATAAGACTTTGTGACTCTCAAAGAGTCTTTAATTGATAGGCGATATGGATAATCCTTTCCTTTGGGAGGAGTTTATTCTTTGCCCATTATAAATGACCTCCCTGCCTTCTTTCCCTTGTCTTCCTACTTTCCTTCCTCCTTTAAAACAAGAACAACAAAATTCCTAACTAGTCAAAATTGAAGTGGTTTACGGCCCTCCATGCCAATTGAAATCCTGCCAAAAGATTGCATTAGAGAATCTGAAGGCATGAGGATGGAGATGATTATATTTTCCATTTGTAACAGGGCTTTCATGTGTTCTTGAATTAATCCCATGTGGTAGATAATCAAAGTAGCAGTAGTATAAGGTTCAGTATAAGGTTTTGTTTGAGATTCCCACAAATACAGCTAGATTAAGAACCCAGGTATACAGTATTTTCATTCTTCATTAAGCATATGGAAGTAATGGAATAAGTTCTGGACTTTAATTGAGTAGTTTGCAAGCGTAATGTACGTTTGAGAGAATAAAACCTTGATTCTGATCCTGGTCTTTCTTTTAACTTCGGTATTCTCTTCTCCATGATTTTTCTCATTTATAAAATAAGGTAGGTTATCTCCAATTTCCCTTCCTACTTGTTTTTACACGTCAACTTTTATTTATTTATTTTTTTTTGCAGTTTTAGGCCAGGGCTGGGTTTGAACCCACCTCCTCAGGCATATGAGGCCAGTGCTCTACTCCTTTGAGCCACAGGCGCCACCATACAGGTCAATTTTAATTTAAAAAAGTGCAAATCCCTTTTCTTAGATCAGTATGAACATCAGTATGTAGAACACTGTATGTTCCACATAATATCTGGTTTAAAAATTAATGTGTTTAGTAGAGAAATGCCTTTGGTGACTAGCCAGGACTTATTTTTGATTCCTGAATTTGATGATTGTTGAAATCACCAAAATGAGTCTTTCTTTAGCAAATGTAAAAAACTCAAATTATCTGTCAGGTTCAAATTTGATGTTGGAAACCTCTCTGACTCATAAATTATTTAATTTACTTTTAAATTTTCATTCAACAGACTTACTGTGTTTTCCTCTCTGCTAAGTATAGTGTTAAGTACTGGTGAAACAAAGTTACCTAGTCAGAGAAACAGATTGATGTGTAGTTACAGTACAGGTACTACACTGAAGGTATGAACCGAGTGCAGTGGGGTTAAAAATGAGGGCTTCTGGGAGGCATTGAGGAATATCTAGGTCTGCAGGATGAATAAAGGTTTGGCCAAGTAGAGGCAGAGATATATGAAAGGCATGGAGAAATGAAATGGCACAGTAGGTTCAGGGATGATGATACAAGTGTAGTATGTGAGGAGTGTATAGCTATTTGGGGGGAATGGAGTAAAGATCTACATAAATTTGGGCCAAACCCTGAAGGATGGGATCCTAGCAAAGTTTTTTAGGCAAAAGAATGCTCAGATGCTTTTTTTTTGTTATGCTGCCTGTGGGCTAGGAGGAAGTAGACAACAAAGGCGGAGCTCAGGAAGAGGACAAAGTTAGAAGGCTTTGGAATTACTTTTGTTAAACATTAAGCACCCAATATTTAATTTATAGTCATTACAGAATTTGACAGAATATTCTGTATGTGTTGGCCACTTCTTCATAAAATTTTGTAATGGAATGAGCTGAGTGTTTAGGAAAAACAAAGGAGCAGTGTGGCCAGAGAAAAGTTTGAGTGATGGGATAAAGTGGTAAGAGATGAAGTTAGGAGAAGTAATGGAAGATTGTGTAGGGTCTTGTAAGCATGGTAAGAAGCTTACATTTCACTCTTGAGTGATATGGGAAGCCTATGAGGGATTTGAACAAAGGAGGACAGGATAATTTTACCATATTATGGTAAAAGAGTAGTGAAAGAAAACTGCTGCAGTAACCTAGGTGACAGACAGGTGATGATAGTTTGGGGAGGGTGAAAATGAT